GGATGGTGGTGCTGGGTGTCTGTGTGTGAATTGTGTTAATATGGGCAGAATTTATTCTACAACCTCCATTCGCTCAGGGACATTTTTCGCGTAGTGGAATTCCCCTCTTGATAACTTATAGGAAATCATTGTTTATTTCGTTATGGAGGAACCGGTAACTCGTGCGGCGGTCATTGCTAACCTTAGCCAGAAAAGTGTCATTCTGCCGAGATAAATCCTCCGAACTTTCGTCATTCTTTTTTACTAATACTTTTATACATTTCACATTTATGTTATTATTTTTCAACTAGAACAAGGAGTGGCGAACAAGCTCGTTTTCAGTGATTCGTAGTCATCCAATACATCACAATAAATATTACGCTGTTTATATATAAATCGGTATTCAATCATAAAAAACGTAAACAAATGTTTCGGGAAAGGGAAAAGAACCTCATGGGTTATCTGGGGCTAAGTTCATCTTGGGACCGGTCATTGTATCACGTTTTTATTATATTTTTTATTGTTGATATATATTATTATTATTAATACGTTAAAATGTATATTAGGTTATAACGTTTTTCTTTTAGGGACTTCAGTCTTTTTCTATATACTACTCTTGAGTAGCTGATTAAAAATTGCATAAATTGCTTAAAGGGGGTACACTGTCCTCGTTCGCCTTCCTGGTGGGCATTACTCTGCAACCTCATCATCCTTGAAGCAGGTTTGCGCATTTTTCTCATAATGGAATGCATGCTCTCTGAGCGAGGAACCATGATGTGACAGTCATGGAACTTCCAGTTATCTTTGAAAAATTCTTCTAAACTGTACGAAAAGTAGATTCCGACCAATGGTTACTGCTGGAAGTTTCCCTGGTTGTTCGGTAATATTGTTACTAGTGGCGACCAGGGTATCGAAATTCTGCAACCTGATTGATCCATTGGCTTCATCACTGACCTTGAGTTTCCTTATGAATTGCAAGTTGCTTTCTCATCATTTCATGGCTTTTCAAATGAGCAAGGTTGCGATTGTCTTTTGACTACAAAATGTTGTACTACAGATTACTGACTAAACGATGCTTTTCAAGTTGGCGATGCATCGATTTCAATGGTCTGGAACGGCTTTGGGCAAAACAACATTTAAACCTTTCTGTCCATAACATACAATTCTATTTTCCCAAACCACTGATAGATATATGTACATAGGCCATTCGAAGCACTCTTGTCGAACAGTCTTTTGGGCCTTCCTGCAATTGCGCCGCATTTGTTCTGCTCTCATCAGACGTACGCTCCTATGGTACAGGCACTGGCATCGTAATACCCTCACTTTTAACCTTCCGCTGTTACGAAAGGTTGAATCAAAACGCATTTTAATCAACGAGGTTTTTCTGGTGACTCTGATGCTGATCAGAGAAAGAGTGACATGTACCGACGTTAATGAAGGTCAGTTAAGTATCATTCACAAAATCAGGCTGTTTCATTGCATCTCAATTTACGTGCGGAGGAGATAGGCTTTTGCACGATTTGTTCTGGTTGTGTATTATCATCATTACATTTACCGGTGTTTTCAATTAAATTGTTACCCAGTGAAATTGAAGTATAAGATAATGCTTAATTCTATTTAATAAAGTTAATTCATTTTTCTATACATAGGCCGAGATATTTGCACCAAGCCTGGCGACAAGTGGAATTTTACCGTCGGATAACCTTTTATCAAAGTATACTCCGACAGGAGTGGCTATCACTCGAACCGAATTAAATGAGCCTAGTTCGTCTGTGTTCGAATCCCTCGAGAACACGACGACTGTTTCCACAAAGGTAAATCACTGAAAAGCTTTCAAACACTTCTTTCTTTGTTCGACAATTTATCCTAATTTAAACACAGCTCGAAATGGTCTCTGCTCGCTCCTTTTGTGTTTCCAGGCAAACGGTAATTTCTTTTCAGATAGTTGATTTTTATGGAGGTTTTTAGCTTGAGAATTTTATCATAGCTTTTACACCCGTCACCCAGAAACTGTGAGTTTTAAAAGATTCTTACCAAATCACGCAAGGTTTTGCAGAAGGGTCAATCCAGTTATGATCAGTATTTTCACCATTGAAGTTCAGTGCAGAATAACATGTCGCGAAAATGTTTCAGTTTACACGTTCACGGTATGATACCGCCTCTGCACTCTCGAAATAGCCGAAAATCATTCTTACAATAATTCCGTCACGAGTTCACAAAAAAGGAAAAGAGATCTTTTGAAATATTGGTATTCACGAGAAGTTGAGTTGGAAGGTCGATTTACTTTATGTCCATGTGCCACATGCCTTTTGTTTCTGGCCTAAACTAATGTAATTGCCATGTCCAATTTCAGTTTGAACAACCACTGACCTCTCCCTTTTTTTTACTGCTTTCGGTTTGTGGTTCGAACAGTGAAGAAGTTGAGTGAAGTAAAAAGCACAAACTAATGTAAAATACAGGTATTAGATGCAAGCAAATCAAATATAAGCAGACTCAGTGTCTCCAATAACTGGTCAGATTATGTACGAGGTCCCAAAATCTTCCCTTCGGTGAACATTGTGCACCGAGAAAGCCCATCCGTGACATGCTTCGGCCACAGCAACTTATTGGAGGTATGTGAGAATCAGTTCTGAAGTGTTGTTTCTTGAAACACAGCCTTGTTGTGCAATGCAAGATCAATTTTTCTCTCATTCTTCCTTTTTATCACCGCTCACATCTTGAAAAACAGTATGAGATTCTTTCTGACTCTCAAGATGTTGATTCTAACGAGGATGAAGCCCTCACCAAAAAACTGATGCAGGCGAAGCGATTGCGTGTTACGCACTCATCAAATTCGTCCGAAACTTCAGCAGTCCGTTTTTCTAAAGCCGTGCGGACTTATTTCCAATCCAGTCAACCCCCTTCACAAAGTAGTGACAGTCTACTACGGTTCAAACAGGCACTTCAAGCATACAAGGCGACAGTGAGTGAAGCAGGAACTAGCCAGAACTCGGCCAGTACCGAATGTGTTGATAATTTATTTGCGCAATTGAAGTCGTTGTTTTACTCGGAAAACGCTCAAAAGTTGCTAAAAGGCAAGTTCGATTGTATGCGTGATCATGTTGTTCGACAGCCATCCTATCCATCCAGTGTTTTGCTTGCTGAGTTGGATCGAATATGATGCAGTTTGAAGAGTGACGATGTGACATAGTCTATTATAACATGCCACGGTTGAAAAATGTTAGAAAACTAGTAATCAAATGTAATAGGTTAAACTCATATAACCGGACGCAATAAATCCTAACCGGCAGGACAGCAAAACGACGTATGGAAACAGCACTCCATTGGGGGCCGGTGTTCAGTTCATCGGATTATACACCTTTCGGTCGTGGTCAAACGTCCAAGATGCCCAGTACACCTCCATACGTAATCAAGCCGGTGCCCACCGTCACGACCAGGAAAATATGGGTGTGGTTCGCAGGCCTCTTCTTGATTGGTTTGGAATCAGGGTTTTTAGCCAACTCACTTAGGTGAACTTCCAGTGATTCACCGACCTGGTTATAGCCCCGGATGTTGGTTTTTCATCGTGTCACTATGGTGGGAACAAAATCTCTGCCTGGAGACGGCAGTGAGTGAGTGGGGCTTCCTCAGCAGGAGCTGTTTGAGACACTTTCTGTATGGGAGAATTTCGCAATGGCAGGATGACCGGGCGCAACGCAAGACACCGCTGCCGACCATACCGAGGCTTTTAGAAGCCCAATTCTGCGATGACTCAGTGTTACGTCGTCTGGAAGGGATAAATTACTGATATCAACTTTTCGCCCTATTAAATCCCGAAAATAGGAGTAATGATGAACTCAAGTGTACTCAAAGCATTTTGCATATTGTTTCGTATTGTACTGTATTGAAACTTGAGCGAGTTATATACAAACTTTCCGATCACTGATCTGTAGCCTGAAGTCAAAGATACAAATTCTATTGGGGCTTGATTTTCGAAAAGCTAGAAGCAGTTAGACAGATATGTTTTCAATGCTATTTGCGTTGCGGTTTCATGGGATGTGCTGGTGAGAAGGAATGTTCGCTGTCATCAAGGCTGTCTAATCCTCGGATACATTTTTCTCTTGATAGACTCTGTGTGTTTCCTGCATCCAGCCCATCAAACACGATTTGCCGATCTGTGCAATGTTTATCACTCCGAAATGTCCGCCAACATTGCGTCCGAAACGGGTGAGTTGGACAATCTTTATTATGGTGCCTCAGTTTTTCTCCAGCCTTATGAATTTCGGTTCTGAACCAAAACCGTTTTTTCGTTTCTTATCCCATCTTTGAAGTGAACACTGTATGATCAACAGTATAGCAATAGATTTTAAAAGGATGGACAACTCAGTAACGTTTGAAACCCCCACGGTTTTACGGCGTACGACCGCTGATGCACGAATCAGTTTATTACAGCTATAAGTCTAGTTTGTGGAGATCAAATACTTGAAACATGCATTATGATCCACGACAGTATACTTGTTCCGACGGAACAATATCATGTAATGTCTCTCACATATTCCAGGTTCCAAAAGCTTCTGGGAATTGTGTTCCAAATGTCTTCTGTGTCTGATTAGCCGTCTAATTTTGGCTGCTGTGTATGGGATATATATCGCATGTACAGCATTCATATTTTGTTAGTAGCATATATGTATATATGTTTCACTACCTACACACTTTTCTCCCATTACTTGGCAGTAACAAAACCCGATGCTTCTCCAT